TCCACACAATCTGAAATCATATTAGAAGCTGTGGAATGAAAAAGAATTAGTATGCATTTGGGGACCCTATTACAAAAGAGATATTCTGCTGGGTTGTGCTGGTGTAGAGCAAACAAAGCTTTTTTAAATATTTAGAGAAGATTGAGGCTGCTTCCTGAAAAACTGAAGCCAAAGTCTGAACTGTTTGATTTGAAGCAATATTATTTGTGGCAGGTAGGAATTTGATTCCTTGTATTTCAGTTCTGCACAGTTTCCTATTTTCTTATAGTGTAAGAAATAATATTCATGCTTTTTAATCTCTTAAAAGAAATATATATATACCACTCATGATGTAGAAATTCTTGTGTATCTGATAGCTGCCTGTTTTCTTACGACTGTAGCCAAAGAGTTATCTTCCTGATTTCATGGCTCAAAACTAGGGAAAATGTAGGTAGAGACAGTTTTGTTGCCTCTTTGATGGTACAAAGTTATTTTATTTTATGTTATGTAAGAAGTATGTCAGTTAATTAGGAGAATTCAGGCTGGTAGTTATGTACCATGAATCTTGCCAATCTTTCACTGAACTTTCAGCTGCAGCTAATTGACTTGGTAGGGAAAATGTGAGGCTTGTGTTGCTTAGCAAGACTGAAAACTGACTGCTGAGCAAGGACAGAGATTTGCTTGAAGAAAAAGTGCATACCTTTACTAGCTACTTATGGCTTAAAGAGGAGAAATAGTTGTTCACACAAGGGCTGGGTTTTTCACGGATTCCTGCCCAAGCAATGCTGTTAACAATTTCTTGATAACTGTGAGTTACCAGCACTGTTTGTGATGTTACTAGGAGCTTTGCAACACACCCCTTTTGCTTTCCCTCACTGCCCCCCCTTCTCTTCTTGAAGCTCCAGTTCCAGCAGTCACGTTATATGCATAAAACCCAAAGTTAATCTAACTGTTTTGATGGGGGAGAAAAATTCAAAACTTTTATCTGACTGCATCCTGAAGACAAATTAAAAAGAACTCAAAATCCTGACAAATGTGAAATTGCTGGGGGTTTAGCCTATCATTATTCGTATGCCTCAAGGTTCATTGTATTTCAGTGGTTTAAAATTATATCTGAGGAGGAGAACAGGAAAACAGTTAACATTCAAAGGCAGACTGGATTTGTAGAGTGATGCTGCTACATCGCTCTTTGCATTGATGCGATGTGCACTATCAGAATCAGTTCCTCTTGTCTGTCTGTCAGATTAAGGCAATATGACCCTCTTACTTCCAGGCCTCAGTTTTTCCCTGGAACCCAAGTGACTCATCTTTCAAGGTATTATTAAGGCTATTCTAAGATGCTTCCTCTGGGCATCTTAAAATAGGAGCCAGAGGGATTAAGTTCAGGCCAGAGCATCCTATAAAGCCAGGAATGAATGCATCCAGAAAAAAAACAATCTGAAAACACAAAGTTCTTGTGTGTTTATAATATTCTCTGATATTAGCTGGCAATATAAAGAGGAAACCTTGTGTTTTACCATCTCTGGACACTTTAAGTCAAAGGGGTTTAATTTTCTTGGGATGTTCTTCATTTTCTCATATGGAAATGCAAGCATCTCTGCCGTATGCTAAAAGCTGCAGAAGCAGCGGGCATATTTGCTATTTGCCGCCTAAATCTCAGGTTGGGTGGGTTACCCAACCTGAGTGATTTCCTCCTGGCAAAACTAAGCTGTGCAAAATCTAACCTTGACCCAGAGAATGATATTATTTTATCAGACAGGCAACATTGTCTTAACTTAGGGCAACAGGCCCTAACTAAACTGCTCTCCCCCAGTTAGCAGGTTACACAATTAGCATTAACTCTGTTAACTCTAAGGGGCAATTAATTGAGCTAGAATGGGGAAAATAATTTGGAAAACAGTAGCAGTCTGTCAGAGTTCAGCACCAGGTGATTGCAAGCTGTTAAATCCCAACAGCTGCCTCACTGCCCTGACAGACATAGCCACCCTTGAGGTGCCGCCAACATCAGGTCCCTTCCTGAACTTCCTCCTGAACCATGAGAGAGTTGTGGAGTTGTTGGAATGGGGCAGGATCTCTGAGCTTTCAGTCTGGTGTACTAAGGTTAAATAGAAATGGTTCAGTTTTATAAGTTGCTCAGTGGTTTCTACTTTGTGAATGGTACCTCTTCTCCAAGGGCTGCTTGTAATTTGGTGAGCTGCACAGGTTTCATTTGCTATTGCCATATAGCTCTGCTTGAACCTGCAACTAAACTAGGTTTTTCAGATCAGCTAGACTGGTTGAAATATATCTTGTGCCCCTTTCATATGAAGAACTATAGCAAACTTCTTTCCCAGCCAAATAATTCTTTTAATGTGGGTAAGTATCTTGTAAGACTGAACGTATTAAAAGCAGAACCTTGTATATTTCTTGTCTACCTCCAAATGGTTTTTTTGGGCTCTACCAAAGGCAAAGGACTATGGGCACTAAATAGGAACTTATCTCCACTGCTTTTGGAAGCAAACAGATTTTTACCTCAGAGTTATTCAGAAGTTGGAAGGAAAAAAAAAAAAGGATGATGTTTGAAGGGGATTGTAGAGAAGATGCTTACTAAATAACTCTTTATTCTGTCAGCCCAATCTGACCTTTGCTGGTGAACCTGAAATGAAGAAGAAAAAATGCTAACTTGTTTTTGCAGTATGTTTCATCACAGAATAATTTAATGAATACTAGTTACTTGTAGAAATGTGCTAGGTAGGGTTTGAGATATTTTTAATAGTAACGGTACTGTCAGAGATGTGTGGATCAGGCATAGATTTTAGGGCTGGCCAGAAACTGGAAGTTCTTTTCCCTAAGATGATCTAGAGTTTGAAATTTCCATTACTAGGAATTAGGATGCAGAGCTGACTAGCTTTGGTTTGGGATCAGATTTTGTTTTAGAAAGATAGAAAATAGTTTTTAACTTGATATATACATATCTATTTAGTATGTAGTTGTAGCTTTAGTATTTAAAGATACTGTAGTGAAATATTTTCATGTGAGCTAAATTATATGATTTTCAGTTGCTTGTTTCAAAACCAGTAATTAATGAAGATATTTCATCTTTAACACAGTTTTGTTTTACAGAAGAGTGTTCCAGCTGAAGACAGGTGTGTTTCTAGTGAGTTTCATTGATATATACAAAACAAACAGATGTTTTACTCTTTGTAGCAATGCTCTTTAGAAGGGCCATTTCTCAAAATGCTTTCAAAATAACCCTTTTTTAAAGTGTAATGCTATCACCACTCATGTATACTAAGATAATGATGCAAAATAGTGCTACAACAGTATTTTGAGGTTTGCTTCACTGGCAGAAGACCTTATTTTTCCAAAGATGTTCCTGACTCTGAAGTGGAGTCAAGAACTGGATGGTGTGAGCAGAGCTGAGGATTCATCCTTGTGGCTAAGTTATGGCAGGAAAACAAGGTAGGATGCCAATGTCCTGCATGGTGGCTTTCTGGACTACTGTGTTTGTGGCAGGGGTGTGAGGGATGTACTGCTTTTGGAAGTAAAAAGAATCTGAATTTGTCCTGCCAGACAGGTGGAGTGTTTGTCATTGATTCCCTCAGATTTTACCCTGTATGCTAACCTCCGCATAGGACTAAATTCTGGGACAAACCCAAGAGATTCTGATTAAATGCAAACCAATAATTTTAAGGCTTGCCTTTGCAGTGAGGTCACTGCACAGCCAGGGATGATGTGAACTGCTGATACATCAGCTGTATTATATCGGTTCTTTGGGTGCCCCTGTTCACAGGTGTCTTCGGGAGTGGGCTGTGCTACTGTGAGCTTAGGGAACTAGAGATGTGTTCACCAGGTTAGCACAGCACTGCAAATTTGCTGTGGGCAATAGTAGAGAAATATATTCAAGCTTGGCTCTAGGCACTACTGGTAGCTGTACCCATCCTGTGTATGGCTGTCTGAACTAGATGTTCCTGTAATCGCCCAGAGGTTTTAAGGGGAACTGAATTTGCCAAGGGGAATATCTTCTTTTTTCTTTACTTTCTGGCACTAATTGCTGGTTTAATGTTGTTTGTTTTTTAATAAAGCTTGCTGATGGTAAAGAGGCAGTTTTCAAAAAGTACAAATATTGTACTTATTCTTTCACACCCCCCCCCCCCATCCCCTTGAAACAAAGAATGAATATTCTCATGCCCTAAATGAGTGAAAGAACTTTGATCTAGGAACCATATCTAATGATATAATCATAGGCATGTTTTCAGTGTTAGAATGGGCCACATTTTATCCAAGAAATCCCTGGTAGTTTCATAGAAGGATATGGAATAGCATTGCCCTTTGTAGGAGCTGTGATTATGCACATGGCCACAAGGAACTAATGCCTGGCTGGCTGAGTTAATTATGCACTGGTGCACACAGGTCATGTTTGACTAGCTTGTGAAAGGCAGCCTTGGCTGAGCTTGCTGCTATGCCGTGTGCAAAGATTAACAGTGCAGAACGCAGTTTGGTAAGCACGAGGGATGCCAATTGGTGGGAAGCATTTAAACTGGCAGGAAGAGCAGGTGGCTGAGTGCAGCAAGCAGTGTACACAGGGATCACAGGTTACATCTGGGATTTCATGATGAATGCCTAATGAGCATGTTGATTAGACTGGCAGAACTCTTCAAGCCCTTGTAAATGTAGCTGAAAGAAGTGGGGCTGATAAGACACTGAATAACCACTCTTGTAAAACTTTCCTTTGGGGCTGCAATATTTAAAGTCCAGAAAGATAATGGAGAGAAATCTGGACAATAAAATGAAAAGGGAACTGTCCTGCTTAGCTACTTTGAACAACAAAAACATAACCCTGGTGTCTATTCGGAAGCGGCAGGCAGCTCATGATGTGCCTGAACTACTGATTATTGGTGAAAAGTCCAAGACAGGATCTCCGATAAAAGCAAGCAGTAACTTGCAGAAAGAAGAGAAAGTTTTGCAGAGTTACTCCATGGGAATGCCAGAAGTCAATGCAGTTGAAAGACAGGTCAGTGAGCTGGTGTGTGTGTGTGTGTTGGGAGGAAAGAAGTGTTTCTGAGCTGGAGAATTTAAAACAGAGCATGTTGGATGCAGATTGTATATTAAAGGAGGTTAAGCCTTCTTTATCTAAATTGTCTCAATCCCCAGCATGGATGCCTGCCCCAAAAGAAGCAGTACACAAATGCAAAGTCCTCAGAAAGTAACCTTTGAAAGCAGATGTTAATGATGGGTTATGCTGTAGTAATTAATGAGCATTTTTTTTCAGCTCCACCTCTAATAATATAGCCTAGGCATTCTTAGTAAGGAAACCTATTAGTATTTCTCCTTTTGAACTGCAATTGCTTGAGTAGTTTGACAGCAGCTCATACCAGATATTCTCTGGAATAACAGAAGTTGCAGAAACATTAAAAGGTCCTAACCATAGGTAAGTAGTTCATAGCTACTAAGTGGATGCTAGTGGAAGTTCTTGATAATACATTTGTGGCAACATCTTTGTTTTTTTTTAAATTCATTGGTGTATATAACTATGGTATTTTTGGAGATTAAGTTTTGTGAAGAGGCTTAGAAAGATCAGTGTGGATAAAAATATGATGAGATTTATTATTTTTAAAAGAGGTTTTGTTATTTGAAAGACCTGTAAATGACAACAGTGTAGTTTGAATCAGTGAATATTGTGAACATTTAAGGAAAAGAAACTCTCTGAACAAATTTTGTGTCCTTTGAAACTGCATATGCTTAGAATAGCTTAAATAATTACTGTCAGACTGGAATAAAATAACAGCCAGGACAGACCAAATGTAGCTGAAAGCTTTTTCTGACTTGAGTTACTTATATTATAAATGTTTGCTAGAAAACAATCATGACATAAATTACTTCTTCCTATCAAAGGATCTCTCTTCTGTGTTCAGTTCACTGGGATATGCATTTTGCTTGTATTGGAGTCATCCTGAATATCGTGAAGTGTTCTGTTTTAATTCTAAATAGGAAATAATCCATTTACAACAAGGTTTTCTCCTTTCCCAGTAAAGTGAGCTTGGTTTACAATTTGAAAGTACCCGTTAAGGTCTCTAAGGTGTGTTAAACTATGGTGTAGGTTTCATTTCACTAAAAGTACCTGCAAATGCATAAATATTTCCCCAGCATCTGTACTGTTAGGGAAACTTGTTCTTAGACATGGAATAGCAGTCACTTGGCAGAAACATTAGGGAACTAATGTAATATTTTGAAAACAAAAGCACATAAAGACTGCTTTAAAGTAATGTTTTCATTGAATCTCAATATCCAGGTGGAGAGGGTGGTTTTTCCCTCATTCAAAACTCAGCAACTGTTTGAAAAATAACAAGTTGTGTTGCAAGTAGTTACTGAAAATAGTAGCTACTGACACTTGTTAATCTTCACTAAACATGGGTGAAGAGGGAAGGAAGAATAACCAGTTAAGATTTAATATGTTTAAACATTATGAGCTAACAAGATGGATTCACAAGCTGCACAGAAATTTGTCAAGGAGGATGAGGGTTGAATTTCTGCCCACTCAGAAGTACAGGTATGAAAGTGAAGACTTGAGACCTTTGATGTTCCTGAGTCTGCTCTGTCCTCATTTTGTTGTTCACTGGCCGCCCATAACAAACTGGGAAAGCATCTGAAGCATTTAATTAATAGTGTGTGGCTTTTCAGTTGTGTGTTACTGCCTGCCTGAATCCAAAGCCATGAATCAGTGGGTTGTGAAAGAACAAAGCAAGAAAGGTAAAACAGTGACACAGGTAAGACAAATCTTTGGCAGTGCTTGAAGGTGAGAGGGCGATAGCTGGTTTCAGTCTGCAGAGGTAAAGGGAGAAGAGCAGCCCAAAATCACTGGAGATACTGGGCATGAGATTCAGTGGGATTGGCATTCTTGGATGAGCAGATGGGGAGAGGAAGAGGGGAAGGTGCTATCCTATGATTCTATGAATGGGCTGGGCCCTGCCTCCTCGCTAGTTGACTGCCTGGCATCATGGTGAGGAGTCTGGTGCTTGAATTTCAGGAAGTTAAATTTGGCAACCCTGTAGGCCAGGTGAAGGAGGTGGAGAGCAGCAGAGCCAGCTCTGGGGGAAAGCCTTGGTGGACCACCAGAGGGGCACAGCAGCTGTGTAGGATCTCCATGTGGGTGATGCTCTGGGAGCTGTGGGGTGTGCCTGCCTCAGCCTCAGCTTTCAGCTGCAGAGGCCAAGAGTGTTACACTGGTATTCTGGAGGTGGCTGCACCCCTTCAGGGGGAGAGGGATGGCTTTCCTGGTGGCAAGCCACTCTGTGAGGTGACCGTGGAGCACAGGGGTGGAGGCAGCATGGGGACTCAGCCAGAGGCAACTGATGGCTGGGGCATGAAGCCAAGGAGGGCACCAACCTTGTTGACTTGACAGCCATGGTGTTCCATCCATCATCAAGACACCAGTCACCATGTGTTCACATGAGGGTCTTGCCCAGTGCAGGAGTTTCTTCTTCTTTGTTTTTGGGTTTTCGTTTGGTTTTTGGTTTTGTTTTGTTTTGTTTTTTATTTTCAGTTGCTTTTCTTGCATTTATTCTGTATTCCCTCACTGCTGTTAAACTCTCAGCCTTTACACTTCTGAATGGGAGTACCCAGAAGAAATAGCCCATCTGTGGGGAAAGTGGGGCACTAGGCCTTTGAGGGCAGCACTCAGTGGGGTGGTTTTGTTGACCAGTTGCACAGGCCATGGACCATGACCAACTTTCCAACCAGACCTGCTGCCGAGCTCTGGATGCTGTAATGCCAAGAGCTGCGTGCCAAGCTGGGGCTCAGGCCTTGGTGCTCCCAATCCAGCAGTCTTTCCCTGCCCTGCTCCACCTCAACGCTTTCCAGAAAATTAGTCCAGCCCCAGGGCACAATCCTGTTGAATGATCTCCCTCATGCTGGCTGGAGGTAGTCAGGATGGCAAGCAGGATCCTCTGCCCCTTTCTGCTTCTTCAAGCCCTGCTTTGCCCCAAGGCAGGCATGAGTGCTCCAGCTCCTACGTGGGACATCAAGGGTTCCTCATGCTGTTTCTTCATGCTCTGAAATTCCCATACGGGGAGCTGAGCTTCAGGTTCCATGTTCATGCACATCAGCAGTTTCAGTTACTGCTCACCTTGGGTCTGGTTCAGAGCTGTCTTCTGTAGATGCAAATGTTTTTGATCCTACTCTGGTGCTTCCTTTAAAGCTCTCTCCAGCTACCACTGCTTCTATGTCAGTGTGTTTCTTATCAATTTCCTTCTTTTTTTTTTTTTTAATTTTACATTGTTTAAATGGGCTCCATAACACTGCTTTCCACAGGAATTCGTAGCTTTCAGACTAGAGCCTCACTCTGCTGTGTGTGTTCAGTTGCAACTTTTACGTGCAGAGCAAGGGAGGAAAAGAATTGTCATAATGTCATGCTTTCATTATTTACATAGTTTTTGTATAGTCACTGTAGAAATACGTGTGGGACTGGTAGAGCAAACAGATTTGGAGTACACCTGCCCTTCAAAGTAAGCAGGCCTCCTTTTGTGTGTGAGACAAATAGTTGGTAAATGTATCTGGTTCTTTTGCACTCCCTTATGGATGAAGAGTCAGATGCATTTTCATTATTTCATTGGGATTTCTATTTAGGCAGAAGCAAGCAGGAGGGGTAATTCCTGGGAATTCCAGGCACATTTTTTCGGCATTTTTTGAAGGCAATTGCTTCTCTGATCCTCTTGCAGATGGTGTCCCTCAATTCCTATACAGCTTCATTGATACCATTTTATGTGTGGGTGTTCGCTGCTATCAGGAAACCCTTTTCTGACACCTGCCATGTGCCCTGAGGCAAATTATGGGTGCATTTCTGCATGTTTCATCTTTGTGTCTTCACATGAACCTGCTGTTTTGCTCTGATCTAGTGTAGCAACACCCCTTCTAGAAAATTCACATAGATGTATCTGTGCCTTTTTTTTTCTTTTTTTTTTTTTTAAAGCTGTTAAGCAATACTAAAGGCTTTGCAAACACTGTATTTGAACCTGTGCACGTTTCTGTGTTTTCTGGAAGGTAGATTCTCAATGATTTGGCATTTGGGGCTTTTTTTTTGGGGGGGGCGGTGTGTGTTTAAGGGAAGTAAGTGTTTTTCTTTTTAATATATCCACATCCCCTCTATTTTCTCCTTGTCATTTAAAAATTCGTGTGCAAGGATTTTTTTCCTACAGAGCATAAACATCTGGTTTGGTCAAGTAACAAAGAAAATATTTTTGCCAACTATCCTGAATGTTTGGATAGCTGTTTAGCCAAAATATAAAGTGATGCCAGGTTTTGATGTTTCTGTGGCTTATAATGCATTGAAGTAGTAGAATCAGTCATTGCTTTTATGTTTTTCAAGAGAGTGGAGGATGAAAAATACCCTTTAATCCTTTTATACATTTAATTTGAATTGCTTTTATGTCACTGGGTACATGGGAAAACTGAGATGGCTGGGTGTAGGAGTGGAGGAATGCAGTGGAGGACATAAGGCTTGTAATGGTTCCTGGGTTTCATCTCCAGGTGGCTGCCAGAAACATGGTGGAGTGGAGTAGGAGAGTGGAGGATGTTCGTCTTGCTCCTCTCCCATGCTCTGTTTTGCCAAAGAGTGCAGAAGGCTTTTGTTACACGAGTTAAAGTAAATATGCAGGATAAGCTCCTGGAAATCCCATGCAAAGGTTTTCTTTACTGGGTGTTTGTGATAAAAAGAGCTGGCCACCACAAGCAAAATGGGTGGGTGAGAGACTGTTTTCATTTATCAGATGAGCTTCTTTCCTATACTCAAGGCCATATTATTATTTTAAACTGTGGAAAGGCATGAATAGGAGGAAATAGGCATGTGGTTGTCTTTGTGTGTGCTTAAGCAGGGAACTGTATTTGCAGGGGCGTCCAATGAACTGTTTAAGTTTTGTTTTGAAAGGAGGGGCTGGCTGTGCATTTTCCTGTGTGTTGGGGATTTCAGCAGCTTCTGGGAAGGGAAGTGCAAGGAGAGCAATACATGCCCTGGGTGCTGCCAGGCCTGTTGGAAGGGGAGGTAAAAGGGAATGTCAGGGCCAAAACATTCTCATGACTTCTTCCCCAGCATCCCCAAAACCTTGAGGTTCAGTGGAGATGGAGGGAGCAAAGAGGGGAGTGCAGGGGGAGCTCCTGTTTGGGATAATGAGGAGCTGCACTGTAATGCTGAAGAACTGAAGTTTCTCATTCCTCCTGTTTTAATAAGTACAATACAGAGAAGGCTGAAAGCAAATTTGTCTTAATGTTTTACCATTTTGGTCATGACCCCAGACCTCATTATTCTCAAGCTCTCCAAGCATGAAACAAAATCAAGTTAATGAATTTTGAATACTGCAGCAAATGAACTGGGTACAGCCTAGTGTTAATAAGCAGCCTAAATACTTCTCATCTGCTCTGTGGTACTAAGGAGGGAGTTTTCTTGTCAGTGGTAGGAACAAGATTTGTGGTACTGAGAATGATCTAGTGGCTCCCTTCTCCTGCCCCTCCCTGCAATAATTCCCAGCATCAGGTGCTTTACTGAATGCTGGAGAGCCCCTGGCTTTGCAGGCAAGAGAACAGATTTGTCGTAGTAGCCTGCATTTGAATTTTTAGTAATTAAAGCTACTTAAGTCACAGACATGAATTTTGATGGTCTTTCCACGAAATCTGACAATGTGGGACTTGTCCATCCCCTTCTCAATCTTTCTCATCACTTTGTGCTAACAATTTCCTTAGGCAACAGCTTCTGGGCTTCAATTACCTATTCTGTAAGAAGCATTGCCTTTATAACTTACCTTTTTTTATTTAATAATTCATTTTGAATTAAATTGAGTGCATTAAACTGTAGAGAGCCAATAAGGCAGAGCCCATGATCTCACTGAGAGATAGTCCACTTGTGACTGATCTACTTCAGTACTGGTCACTACATCCTGAAAATGAGTCTTCGATCACATCAGTGAGTTCTTGTATCTTCATATATGGTCTTCCTTAGGTGCCTCACAAGGAGGTAGATTAAACTAAACCATGGTGGAAGTATCTGAATATTGTTCTTTGTCTTAAAATCTTTGTCGGATACAGATTTTAACTTCGAAGATCTGCATGCAGACAGCTCTTCACATATCAGGCAACAGGTCCTCCCTGTGCCAGCTTGTTTCAGGCTTTTGGGAGATCCTTGATTCTGTTTTCTGTAGGCAGTTCGGTTTGGTTTGGTTTGAACTCCTGCAGCAGCAGGTTGGCCAGACTGAGCCAGCTTCTGACATTTGTGGACAGACGATCAGCCCACTTCCTGCTGTGACCCTTTGTGCCAATGCGCCCTTGGAGAGCAGGGCTCAGGCTAGATAGTGAAAGTGCCCTGTGGCTGCAGAAAGCTCAGGTTTTAAATAATTGCATTGGGGTGGAAATACTGAGATAATTTTGCTTTTATGTCCCAGGTGAATATTTTTTTAAATTGCTGCTCAAGAGAATCATTGGAGATGTGATTCATCATTGTAGGCATAGATCAGTGGTAATATATTCAAAGTGTAAGTTAACATTGTGAAGCTTTTTGGTGGTATAGCCTGACTTGAAAGCACATGCAGAATATTGCTGCTTTCACAGGGCTCACGATATTTTATTTTGCCTCTTGTTCCTTAGGCTTTGTCCACCACTGATTCTCCCCCTGGCTGTGAGCTGGAGCCTACAATGAAACACAGTTTTGCTTTTGACAACATGGGCTATGAGGACAGCTTTGAAACTGGGCCCTCTTCATCTTCCCAAGAACACACTGTGGCAGTCAATGTTGTGGGAATGACTTGCCAATCATGTGTGCAGTCTATAGAAGGCCGAATTTCCAAGGTGAAGGGCATTGTGAGTATTAAAGTCTCCCTTGAACAGAACAATGCTGTAATAAAGTATCTGCAGTCAGACATAAGTCCTGAGCAGATTTGCAAAGAAATTCAGGATATGGGCTTTGATGCCAACATAGCAGAAGAGAGGTCGACAACAGCAACTGTAAATTTGTCATGCTTGAAGGAAGCAGTAGTTAAGCTTCGGGTAGAAGGCATGACATGCCAGTCCTGTGCCACCAACATTGAAGGAAAGATTAGGAAGCTGCACGGTGTGGCAAAAATCAAGGTGTCACTTGGTAACCAGGAAGCTATTATTGTGTACTATCCTTACATCATTCAGCCTGATGACCTCAAGAGTCATATAAGTAACCTGGGGTATGACTGCACCATCAAAAGTAAATCGGCCCCTTTGAAGCTGGGTGTCCTCGATCTTGAGCGCTTGCAGAATGCAAACCCCAAAGAGACACCAGCAAGTCTTGAGAGCAATGGAGTAGATCCACGGTTCACCAAGATGAGTAGCACAGCTACAGTGGCTCTACAGGTAGAAGGCATGCACTGCAACTCCTGTGTCAGAAACATCGAAGGAAACATATCTAATATTCCTGGCATACAAAGTATTAAAGTGTCGTTGGAGCATAAACATGCTGTGGTACAGTATAGCCCAAATTTAATTACCCTGCCAGCTTTGCAGCAAGCTATTGAATCCCTTCCACCTGGAAACTTTAAAGTATGCCTCCTTAATGGTTCAGAAACAAATAAAGGAGCATCTCCATCACCTGCTTCCCAACACGATCTTTTCAGAGAGCCACTGCAGGACACGACATGCACGGCTGTCATTAGGATTGATGGCATGACCTGCAATTCTTGCGTACAGTCCATAGAAGGGATCATATCACAGAGACAAGGAGTTCAATGTATAGCAGTTTCTTTAGCTGGCAGAACTGGGACCATACATTATGATCCATCTGTCACTAACGGAGAAGAGTTAAGAGTTGCCATAGAAGACATGGGGTTTGATGCTTCTGTACTGACAGGTAACAGTGTTCTTTCTTCCATGGGTAGCGTGCCAAGCCGGGCCATGAGACACCCGTGTTGAGATTCTCTTCTGGAGAGAAACTCTTGGCATTGTCTTTTCTAAGGGACTGACCTGATCAGACCTCACTTAGCAAGGGAGAGAGAGTTCAGTTGTGGTGTACCTTATTTCAGCCCTTAATAACTGTACTGGCTGGTGGAAAAGTTGAGTTAAATTATGAACCCAAAGGTTTGAAAGTTGGTACAAGATCTTTAAATAGCTGATCCCCTTATCAGGAGATAAGGGAGGAGGTTTCCTCTTATGTCTACAGGCTGCTGTAAGTAGATACATCAAACCAAATGTTTTCATTTATGTTCATTTCATTTCTAAAATACTAAACCTCACAAACTTATTGAAATCCCTTTAATTTAAAATCACCTTTTTTCTGTATACAAGTTCATATTATTATTTTAAAATGTGGAAAGACAGAATCCATTGACCTTTATTTATTATTTTTACTAGCCTTACTTTACTAAGCCTTACTTTAAGTGATGTTAGTAGCAAGATACAGGTACTCTTTGGTGGGAGCAGGTGCTTCCACATGTAGCTGTGACACGTGTAGCGTGTAGCTGCAGGATGGTTTGTATGTTTTGTATATGTGCTCAATATTTAAGAACTTGCTATGGTGCACAATCTCCTCTTTAGTGAATTTCAGATGTGGCAATATTTATCTGCTTCACCTCAACAGATTTGCTTTCAGATACTGGTGTACTTTACCTAGAATGATTTAGTTTGATCACAGTAGATCACATCCTGTTTGCTTTTCTCATGAGTCCAATCCCTCTGAATCTGTGGTACTACTACATAGGAGGAGGAACCCATATGTGGTCTTTCATTATGATTTGTTTGGTTTATAATTTGTTGGTGGAACCTGATTTATCTGTGGAAAAGGAGGGGATCCCCTGTGTTTAATGTGTTCAGAAGCAGCTCTTGCTGCTTTATACAAACCTCTGCTAAAGGGAGGCAGTTTGTGGACACAGCTGGAGTTTTTGGGTGTCTGTTTAGTATCTGGTAAAGAACAAAAATTAGTGCAACAGACCTGTATGTGTTGAGGTCATCTGGGTGCTGCAAATCCTTCCACTACTCATTTAGCAGTACTTGCAGTGTAAATATTGTGCCATAAAGAGAAACATGTTGAGAAACTTGTCCTTTTCCTTGTTTGAGATGAAGTGCTACATGTTGTGTACAGACGACAACAGGGACAGAAGGGATATGACTGGACTGCATTCTCTGTGCTGGATAAGGACCCTCTAGATAGCAGTATATCTTTGTTGAGTGGAGGTGTCTGTCAGGTCTAGGCATTGAAATTGGAGGGAATCATTTGCCATCTGAAGTGGAAAACTGGTACTGTAGAGTTAAATGGTCATGCAAGTGCTACTGGTGAATATATTGTTACATAGATGTATTGTTTCCATGAAGAGACCAAGATTACTATGTAACCTTTCAAACAACCAAGAGACTTTGCTTGATTGATAAATGTGACCTGTTTGTAATTTTGCATCACCCAATCTCACTGTAAATAGTGCTTGTTCAGTGTATTGTGCATTTATTCAAGATACTGCCACTGGAGAACATAAGCACCAGCCTGACACCAGCAAAGCTGCTGTGCAGCCTCAAGCTCCAGATCCTCCTCTCCAAGGCTGTTCCTCAGATGCTGCTCCAGATAGACCACATCCTGATGAGCCAAACCAGCCCAGTGGAGCGACAGCTGCGAAGTGTTTTTTACAAATCACGGGCATGACCTGTGCATCCTGTGTGTCTACCATTGAGAGGAATTTGCAGAAACAAGATGGTAATAAATTTCAGTTTCCTGTAATCTTAATTGATGGCCAGGTTGGATGGGGCCTTGAGCAACCTTGTCTAGTGGAAGGTGTCCCTGCCCATAGCAAGGGGGTGGAACTACATTATCTTTAATGTCACTTCTGACCCAAAGCATTCTATGATTCTATGACAATAATGAGTCTGTAAGGGACTATAGGATGGAAAAGGTATTCCATGTGATTAATGGAAGAGTCTGTGGTACAACATCTGAAGGTTAAATAGGCTTAATGTTCTCTTTTAGGACTAATGTAACTGTATCACTGTTTAACTGTCCTACTGCACTGGTGTGCGAACCCAATGGGCATAGTTGTACTGTAACAGTAAGTTGCTGCAATGTGATAAAAATTTCAACTAAGGCTCAAGGCATGAAAATGGTTCTCATTTAGTTTTCAGGGCTTTATTGCTTTACAAATCAATCCATCTCTTCCAGAGCTATTGAGAGCTCTGGCATGTTTGTGATGTGAAACTTACCCTTCAGGTCACATTTGCAAAAGCAGATATAAGCAAATGTACGGCTCCAGTGCCTGGGTAATTATATTAACCTAGGCACAGCAAAGCTTATTAGGTTAGAAGTCTGCACACTGAAGCTGCCTTTCCTCTGGCCATATAGAAGATGAACAGATGAGCCCCAGCAATGTCTGATTTAATTTGTGTGGGGATGCCTTTGGAGGATTTTGCTTATTGATTACTGTTCCCTCAGTCTCCCAGTGCTGGTCTCACTGCCTTGATTTAAAAATCTAAGAAACCATTAGCACTCCAGAACTGTTGTTTTTGCCTGTGATTTTTATGTTTCACTTTTCAATTCTAAATGTAGATTTATGTGTATTGATTTATTAAAAAAAACAAACAAAAAAACCAAACACCCCCCCCACCAAACCCCCCAGATAAACAGAAAAAAAAACAAACAAAAGAAAGCCAAACCAAAACCCAAAAAGAAGATGAAAAAACGACTCAAAGGGAAAAATAAATAAAGGCCTAGCATTGTGCTGTGGGGTTTGTTTAGGGCTTTCCAAACTTAGAGAGTCCAGGGTAGAGCTTGCAGCAATGAGTGTAAAGGTTGTTTCTGTACATCTTCTTTTTTTTCTCATTAGATCATAGCAAAGCTCACCTCCCTCTGTGTGTAACTGTTGCTGTTCTCATTGCTGAAGGGAGCTGCAGTGTGCCTGGATCTCAAGGAAAAAATTGCTGTTGTGACTAGGGAACAACACTAGAAGGAGGCAGAGAGAAATCATTAGGCTTATAACATCTGTTAAGTTGTTACAGCCCTCGCTGACATTTACTGGTAATGTTTTATTTTTTTCCTCTCAAAGGAGCTACATTATCTAATATTTTTTATTATTGCCACTGCAGGGATTGTTTCAGTGTTGGTAGCACTGATGGCAGGTAAAGCAGAGATAAAATACAAGCCAGAACTGATACAGCCTCCTGAAATAGCACAGCTGATCCAGAATTTGGGTTTTGGTGCTACTGTCATAGAAGATCATGCAGAAACAGAAGGGAATGTGGAGCTTCTAGTAAGTCATGCATATTTGAAATTATGTGTTGGGTTTGGTCTGGAAAAATAATTTTCTTGCAAATGCTTCTGGTTAAGGAGTTGTGGCTACAGCAGATCAGTCTGGCTGGTGACACTGTTTTTTCTTAATTGCTGAAAAGACAAAATCAATTTGTCTTGGAAGAACCTGTCCAAAGGTGTTGAAATGAAAAGTGACAGTTGTATGTACTGAATAGGCTTTCCATAGAAAAGAGAAATGAAATTGAACTTTTCTGTGAAGGCACTTCAGTCAACACTACAGACTCTGAGCAACTGAGAATGTAGCACCAAATATGTGTTAATAATACCTGGGGCTTTGTATAGAGGTCTGAGTACTTTGGGTAAAATTAGTAAATTGCTTATACGAAGGACAGATCCTTCAAAAGTCTATTTTTAGTCTCTGACACACACCTACTCAAAGACAGCAACAGTCAACAGTTGTGCTAACAGAGAAGAAAGTAGGAACATGTGTTATTGAAGCCACAAGAAAATTTAAGTAAGCAAGAAAGTCACACATGCAGAGTTTGATTTTGGTAATGTTAATATTGTTGCTGACAGAACTATATTAGCAATACTGTAACAGTTAATGCAGTGTACAAGTGCTGCTACACAAATATACAGCTGTGACTATAACTGCTGCTTCCAGAATTTTGTGATAAAAGTGTATAGTTATGTTCTCAGCATTGTTTCATTTAAGACAGCTCTATAAAAATCTTCATGCTGAGGGCTTGGGTCAGTACCAGCAGAGCTTGAGTAGTACCTTTGTGACACCAGGAGGGTGAGTCTTATATTCATCCACAAATATTGGACGAATGTTGGGGACTGCTAACTGTACCTCAATTTGTCTTTTCTTTAGATTACAGGGATGACTTGTGCTTCTTGTGTTCACAATATTGAATCCAAACTCATGAGAACAAATGGCATATTATACGCCTCAGTTGCACTTGCCACATGCAAAGCTCACATCCAATTTGATCCTGAGATTACTGGACCTCGAGATATTATAAAAATAATTAAGGTAGGCTTTAGAAATGTTTTATGTAAGAACAGTTGTAAGGTGAAGTTAAAAAGGAAACAAAGCAGTTGATATTTGAGAAGTTTCACTGACTTTTGCAGATGACAGTTATTGCCATATGTTTTTATGCTGTTGTGGTGAAGCAGCTGTGCTCCACCATAGTGCATAGTCACCCAGGTTGTTGCTCTGAAAACACACCCTTAAAACTGCAAAACCAAACCTTTCTTATCTATATCTGGTAAAAGTGTCATATATTCATTCTTTGCAATTCTGTGTATAAACTCATGTGTGTCTGATTCCCTGTCATTTCAGTGAAGTGTTGATACTTCAGAAAAAAATACTACTTTCTCTTGCCAGTGAAAGAGGCTGTAAAAGGAGTTTTACAACAGCTCATACCACAAGTATTACACATCTGTTTTCATTGGCATTTATTCCCACAGCAGTTCAGAGGAGAACTTTTTAAACTGAAAGAACTTGTGATACAGCCACTAAACGAAAAGAATCCTGGCTTAACGGACAGATCACAAAATCTGTCATTACCATGGCCAAGTTGTGGACAAAATTTTTTCTTTCTCTGTCCCACCAGAAGAGTGCATGTGTGTGAGGAACATGCGATTGAGTAGTCAGGTGGACAGCAGAAATTGCCATTTGTGTTCTAGAGTATTTACGCAGGAAAAAGCCCCTTAGACACAGAATTGGTGGGGCAGCAGTGGTTAAAATATTAACTATTAGACTGTTTAGGCTGGCAAAGTAGTTCTCTAAAGTGTATTTTGTCGCAGGAGCATCTCATGGTGCAGGTATGAAGTTCAAATGTATCATTCTTGCAAGTATGCTTTGGGGTTTTTGTGGGGGTTAGGGAGAGGGAGCATGATTCTACTGCCATAACACATTGAAGCATCTGTCAAAACTGGCTATTTGCTTTTATTTGTTTTGGGGATGCTTTGCCTTGTAGTTTGTTGTTTTACAGGTTTAAACAAATTCTATCCACTCTGATGTTCAACTTCAGGTTGGCCTACTCAACTGCAGTGTTAAGGAGATGCTCACAAGATTGACTAGCCCCGTGGCTTGTATACTTTTACCTTCCTTTGTGGTTTTTCCAGTCTCTCATAGTTTTCCGGTGGAGATGAAAGGTCATAAATTTCCCTGGAGGAGGAGGGCAGTGAAACTCCAGCTGTCAGTAGGAGGTTCCTATGCCTAAGAAACCTGCGACATTCACTGCATCTATACACTGTGTTTATGTATAGGTATCGAAAAGCCTTTGCAGTCCACATTTTGAGTACTGTCTGAAATATCCTCTTATGTTGGGAGGATCTAAAAATAAGAAGTTGGAATTTATTAAATACAAAATAGTGTCCCTTTCTGACATTTCTTCTAAAAGTAGGATCATTTAAGCGTGTGATAAGTAATATGGGTAATTTAATCAAAACTAACTCATCTTCCCTCCCCTTTCAATAAAAAGGAAATTGGCTTTCATGCTTCTGTGGCTAGAAGAGTTCCAAATGCACATAACCTAGATCATAAAAAGGAAATCCAGCAGTAAGTATTTCTCTTTCTCTCTCATTAATGAACGTGTATAGATCATCTTCTGTAACTCCCTCTCCCTTCCCAGTTAATTTAGCTTATTTAATTTTACTATTTGCTACTTGGTTCAAGTACTTTTGTTACTTTCATTAGTTTTGGTTTTTAACTGATAGAAGTCTATACAGTTAAACATATAACAGACACTTGAAACTGTCTCAAAATGTTGGTTCTTTCCCATATATCCTGAAGCTGTTAGTACATTACTAATACTCCATGTTTGGCACAGCAAGCATAGTGTTGGCATAGGCCTTGGTATTGTGAGGTGTATGACAACCAGGCATTTACAGCTTCTACTTTTCAGGTGGAGGAAATCTTTCTTGTGCAGCCTGCTGTTTGGTATCCCGGTCTTAATCCTAATGATTTATATGATAATACCTAATGGTGAGCACCATGGGTCTATGGTGCTGGAACAGAACATCATTCCTGGATTATCTGTTTTAAATCTTCTCTTCTTTGTCCTGTGCACTTTTGTTCAGGTATGTCCACAGACTTCATAGGGGTTTACTTTCTATTAATCTCCTATTTATGTAATCTGATGTGATAAAAACGAGACTGGAAGGGTTTAGTGGATTAGGCCTGCTGTCTTATCTGTACCACCTATGCAGAACGAAGTGGCGCTTTTCTGCAAATCATCCATTCTGTAATAGCTTGCAGTATTTACTTCTGACAAAGTTGCATCAGATAATTATCCAAGTGGGGAAGATGAAGATTATGAATATTAAAATGAAGAAATACCTGATCAGCTGCAAACTAATTTGGTAGCTGTAGGAAAATACCTTCAACTTCAGTGCCTTGTTTACCTTGCATTGCTAAGGGAAAGGATGACATTTAACTGGCAGAGCTGTTTTAAGAACAAGGAAGGGCAAGTGAAAGGGTGACAATGGAGTCAGTCTGCTAGTAGATAACTGAAGTTATGTCAATACAAAATTTGCATGGGACAGCAATGCTTTTCCTTACCTACTATGTGTTTATAATGCTGCAGTAGACAGTATTATGTACTCTTTGTTTTCACTGCTGTGATCTAAATACGAATCTGTCCATGCTTGCACCAACAGTTTCTTGGTGGGTGGTATTTTTACATACAAGCTTACAAGTCACTGAAGCACAAGATGGCCAATATGGATGTGCTCATCGTACTAGCCACAACGACTGCCTATGTGTATTCCTGTGTTATCCTCATGGTAGCAATAGTAGAAAAAGCAGAGAAAAGCCCCATCACTTTCTTTGACACTCCTCCGATGCTGTTTGTATTCATTGCCCTTGGGAGATGGCTGGAACACATAGCAAAGGTAACTCAGCTTCACATTAATTACTGTGTATTTATGATGAGAGTAGAACAAAACTCTTCAGAGGAATTTTGAGTCAGATGTTTCTGCTGTAGCTTGTATTATACAAGGTCATTTAGAATTCATTTTGTTAATTAGGCATCAGCATTTATATATCTCAATATATCTTAAACATTCATCTCTCTTTCTTAGAGTAGGACCTCAGAAGCTCTTGCTAAACTTATATCTCTTCAAGCCACAGAAGCCACTGTGGTGACTCTTGGACCTGATCACTCTATCATCAGGTATATATTTGTGAAACAAAACCGCTTCAGCCTGCCTTGGTGCAAAGACTAGGCTTGATGTAGTCAGTGTGAAAGCATTATTATTTTTTTGATGGGTTAATAATCTGCCTGTTCTACTTGTGTCTTTTGTAGGGAGGAGCAGGTAGCTGTAGAACTGGTTCAAAGGGGTGATATCGTAAAGGTTGTTCCTGGTGGAAAGTTCCCAGTGGATGGAAAGGTCATTGAAGGCACTTCTATGGCAGATGAGTCTCTCATTACTGGTAACTTCCACACTTACACAAAAAAGTGGAATGCTCTAGAATTCTTTCTTACAAGAAAATAGAGCAGACACAACCCAAAAGCTGGTGTGTGCATAACCTCCCACCTTAATGGATGCTGCGCCCAGCATTTGTGAGCTTGAAGGCAAATCTGTGTCTGCGCACAGCCTAAAAAACTGAGGAATTTCTGTTCAGTTTTGTTACTTTTAATAACTTACTGATTAGATGAGTAGAGTCTAAATACTATTGTCATTATTCCAAAGATCTTGTAGGAATTTCCACTGGAATGTGTTTGTAGAGATGGTACCTTCTCACAAATAACTTCTAAAGGGTGATGGGGAAATATTGCTGAGATGTCGGGGGGTGTATGCATGGGCACTGAACAGGACTTCTCCCACTGCAAAGAGATGGAAAGAAAGCCTCATAACATGATGCTCATTAAAGGTCCTGGGACTTTTTCACAGCCTCTGAAATTTTCATTTCATTTTATAAATGTAATAAGGATTAACTGCATTGTTCAATTCTCATAAATAAGTAAAGGATATGAAAACTTTACATTGGTATTGGTTACTTGTTTTAGTTACGTATTTACTTTGCTTGGTGAGCAAGAACACCCTTAGTTTAAGAGAACCAGTCATTATCACTAACCCAAAAAATGAAGAAAATAAAGATTGCATAGAGCTTTTTTTTTTCTTTTTTTTTTTTTTTTTGAGAAGCAGTGTGAGAAGAGGAGCTTTGCCACAAAGACAACTTTTCTAGTCTTTGAAAACTGAGGGTGGTAGAAATAAAGACAGATTTACAACTTTATTTCCACTACCCATGGCTATGCAAAGCATTACCTGGAGAAATTCCTAGAAGTTCCTTTTACAACCAATTTGCTCCTAGCCCTTTTAAGGGGTGATGAACAGGAGAGTTAGGACCAAAGAAACAGCATTTTCTTTGGAAGCAAACCTAGAAAAATGTTTATAAAAGTATTACACCACTTAACATGTCTTGACTAGGTAGAGACAGATAATACAAGTTTTCTAATCATTATTGCTTAGCATACGGATTTTGCTAGCATACGATGAGCTGTGGCCTAATGGACTATATTCACTGTTATTAGAAGCATTTGTTTATTTATTTTATGTTTTCTTTCTAGGGGAAGCTATGCCAGTCACTAAAAAGCCTGGGAGCACAGTGATTGCTGGTTCTATAAATGCACATGGCTCAGTTCTTGTTAATGCAACTCATGTTGGTAATGATACCACTCTGGCACAGATTGTGAAATTAGTGGAAGAAGCTCAAATGTCAAAGGTAAAAATAAAAGAAAACTTTATTCATAGGTTTTGATAAAATGAGAAAAAGATTCTATATTTTGCTATATTTACTTGTTCAGCAAACTATGTGTTTCTCCAGAATTCAAAAAAGAATGAGATAGACTATAAATCAGACATCTTCACGAACTTTGCACATTTATGTGTTTTGACCATAAACATGCAAATATCTATTTTTTTCTTTCTCATAGGCACCCATCCAACAACTGGCAGACAAGTTTAGTGGATATTTTGTACCATTTATCATCATCATTTCAACAGTGACATTGATAGTATGGATCACAATTGGGTTTATAAATTTTGATGTTATTCAAAAATATTTTCCTGTAAGTGATTTCAGTAAGAGATGAATTTGGGTGTTAGAATATCTTCCAGTGTAATTAACATACCTTCTGTGTGTAGGGTTTGATGTTGCAATTTGGTAAATACTTTTATACAATATGGTGTTTTCTACACAGAGCAAATAATTACACTAATAAAAATCTGTCTGCAGGTATAAATATATCTTTTCATTTACCCCTTAGTTCTGCATGTGGTATCTACAAACTGAAATTACTGGCAGTCTTTGTGGACTAAACATTATCTATAGCTGCATTGCAAGGAGCTGAGCCATTTCTATCGTGCCTAAATTTTTTTGGACATCCTTATTCCTGATTGCAGACAGTGGGTTTGGCTTTAGAAAGATGAGCTTCTGTTATCTTTAGGATGTGTGTTTGCTATGCTCAGGAACTGGGGGAATCTGTGTACCCAGAAATAGGGTTGTCCTTTATTAAGCTATAAGGGAAAGTTATTTTTTCACCCAGAAGCCCAAGAGCAGAGTCAAACATAAGTGTGCTTGAGCAGCAAACCATATAGAAAATATTGCCATAAACAATTCATAACATTGAACTTTTTGTACTGTTACAGTAACAATAACATATTGCTTTCCTCTTCTGGAGGTTTCCATGCAGATGTGTTTTTTGAAATGACTATGATTCATTGTACAACTGTGGTCTTCTATCAGCAATCATACATCTCTTTCTTCCCCCCTGCCCCTTCTCTCTTGCAGAATCAGAACAAAGATGTTTCAAAAGCTGAACTAATACTGAGGTTTGCGTTTCAAACCTCAATCACTGTGCTGAGCATTGCATGCCCGTGTTCTTTAGGCTTGGCTACCCCCACAGCTGTGATGGTGGGCACAGGCGTTGCTGCACAGAATGGTATCCTCATCAAAGGTGGAAAACCCCTGGAAATGGCACACAAGGTTAATAGTTCATTCTATACTTTTGCAGCTCACCCAGTTGTTGCTACACAGCAAGGATTTCCTAGAAAATCCTGCTGGTCTAGAAAAAGACTAAAGAATGTCGATTCTTTTCTATTGGCTGCTGCTCATGAGGGGAAAGAAGGCAGATCTGACCTTCTTTCTTCAAAGCAGTCGTAGCAAAATGCTGAGAGCCAGCAGTTCCTGTAATCTCATGACAGTGAGGCTGCTAATCTTCTGCATGATCACAGAAGTTTCTGCATTTTGCACTCTCTTTACCTCTTCTGCAAAAGAGCCCAATATTAATCCAGTGTTCTCCTTCTTTCCTCAGAGGGCTGTCATGAAATGTATATTGTTCATGATCAGCAGTTTAAAACGTAGGATGTGAGAGAAAAACTGAATGATTTGAAGTTGGTTTAGAACAGAGAAAAAAGATAGAAAGGAGTTAGAAAAAGCCCTTCAAAGGAAGGAAACTGATGAAAAGATGGGGAGATTGAAGGAGGAACGGGTTTGACATGTCCACAGCCAGTCAAAAGAATATGTGTTTAAACCATGTTATGGTAGGCTGGATTAGACACACAGAAAACAGCAATATCCTTGAACTGAAAAGGATATTAAGAATAAGTTAAACAGTATGGTAATTCTTGTTCTTGCTGGACATTATAAAGCACAGACCAGAAGTTTTCCCAACTCTCTGGAGAAAAAAAAACTCAAGCAAAAACTGACTGCTGATTAGTGTCATGACCTTCTACCTTTTGCATCTAAGCAAGACTAGGATCAGGGCTTGGAATATCAGGTGAACTGTTGGATTATGCAAAGTTGGTGGGTTGGAATAACTGGGAATAGAATTAGTGACTACTTTGTTTTCTGGTTTGTGTGTTTCTCTGTACTGTGTTATCTTCAGGGTTAGAATTGACTTTAGCTTTGGGTTTCACTGTATTTGGTACTGTGTTGTTTGGTTCATTCCCGATTGTCAAGACCCCTTCAGCTGGCTAACAAGAAGGGATTGCTGAATTTGGTGAATATTACAAGGTTGATTTTGGTTAGATTGTTGTTTCCAGAACTTGTTGCAGCTTCTTGCACTCTTCCCACCTGCTCTATTACCAAATAAATTAATGAGTCCTCTCTTCCCAGTGCTATTGTTAATTGTTTAGAACAGTACTTGTAAAAGCCCTCCTTTGATCATCTACCTTGTCGTAAAAGTGATTAAGGCAGATTATGTGAATCCTGCATGTAGATACATACATGCTCACACAGAGGACAGTACAAGTCCTGTAATAAGTGTTGTCTGAGATCCTGGCATAGGTACAGGATGATGCTGTAGCTTTGGTGAAATCACTGTTTGGGGATTGAATAAGAAAGCATAAGGAGACCTACTGTACAGATAGTTCCAGGTACATACACGAATCCCTACTTTTGCAGGTTTATCCTGTCTTGATGTGGGTATAATCCAGTGATTATTAAGGTTTTGCCTGTGCCTATGTGCCTAAAGCATATGAGCATCTCCATGCTTGCAGGACTTAGGCAGTAACTCCTATTTTTTTTTATTTCTTGCAGATCAAGACTATAATGTTTGATAAAACTGGGACCATCACCTGTGGAGTTCCTAAAGTCACGAGGGTGCTTTTGCTAGGAGACACAGCTGTGCTCTCTCTGAAGAAGGTACTGGCAGTGGTTGGCACTGCAGAAGCCAGCAGCGAGCATCCTCTAGGAGTGGCAGTTACTAAATACTGCAAAGAGGTACTTACCTTTCCAATTCACTAAGGCCTGAAGGCATCTGTGCAAATGCAGCAATGTTGTATAAAATGAGCAAGTCCCAGAGGGACAGGCCTGCCTGAATAGTAACAGACTGGAAAACTGGGAGATTTTATGATTGTGCATCTTAGTCTGGACAATAGCAGAAAGCATATTCTAAGCTTTGCTTTTCTGATAATGCTGTGGAGTTCTCAAACAAGATCTTACAACATTTTTCCTGAACCAGTAGGGAAATAAGGACTGTGGAATATGTATGTGCAGGAGGGATACTTACGCTTAAAACAGCACCGTGAAGCAAATTTGTGTGGTGACATTTCATGTTACCCGACTAGTCACTTTTATTAGTCGGTTGCTTATCTGGATAGATTAGGCAAAAAGCCTTAAATCCTCCCTATTAAACTGATACTTGTGAGTTTCACAAATGAATTAGTAGATTACTCCAGTCTTTGCAAATTTTGCAAATCCTCAAAGGTCATTTATATATTGCATGTGTTCCTCAAATGTTTCAGGAAGAATGAAAGCACAAATAGTAACCAAAATAGGAAGCGTGGTTTAAATAGAAAATTTTGGTTTGCAAAGACACGTCATTAATTGATTTATGGAAAAATTTATGGGCAAGAACATATCAAACTTACTAGTGATACATCTTTCAGTGATAAAATTTAGAAGTTAACAACAGGAAGAAGAGAATATGGGTAATGTTTCAGTTGCCTTTCTCATATTTTACATTTTCTGTTTTCAAATTTGTCTTAGTATGCTGACACTTCTGTAGTCATCCCATGCACCAGTTATTACTGGGTCATGGCTTATATGAGTTGCAGGCTGCTCAGCATTACAATGTTTGCTAATATTCTTAGCACCTGCCTTATCATCCCTGTGTTGTAAGAAGATCACTGAAATTCCAGCTTCCAGAGTTGTATTTCCAGCTTTCAGAGACAACCCAGAATAACTTGTTTATAAATGAATATTTTGGCTTTAAGCTTTATAATGGCTGTAAACTGAAAGAGGGGATATTTAGATTAGACATTAGGAGAAAATTCTTCACTGTGAGGGTGGTGAGGTGATGGCACAGGTTGCCCAAGGAAATGGTGGCTGCCCCATATATGGAAGCATTCAAGGCCAGGCTGGATGGGGCTTTTAACAACCTGGTCTAGTGGAAAGTGCTGCTGCCCGTGGCAGGGGGGTTGGAACTGGGTGGTCTTTGAGGTTCCTTCCAACACAAACCATTCTATGATTCTATGATTTTTTTTCATTCTTTTGGTAATTCATAGGATCCTGGTAATCCCTTTTCTCATCTTGAAGGTTCTCACTGGCTTCTCTCTAAACTCAGCAGAAAGACCTAGTTCCTTTATCATCCAGACAGATTACTCTAGGAATATGATACAGTTTTTCTGCTGTATTGTTGCCCTTATATAAAAGGCCTGATCCCCCACAGCCAGTTGTATGTTAGGTTAATTAGAAGTTACACCTCTTGAGAAGCTGTGTGGCTGTATGGTTACAGTGTTTGTCTTTACTTCCTAGTCTTGTGTGAGGCCATGAACCCCCAGTGTAACTACTTCATCTTTCAGCTATGAGGAAAAGCTGCCCTTTATAGTTTGCTGGTGCTAGGGCTGAGACCTGGATGTGATCTGCATGGCTGCCGCTTTCTAGAAATCTAAACCACACCATGTCCAGAACATCCTTATTTTAACTTCTGTGCTACTGGATACTTCATACTGCTTTACAGTCAGTCAGTCATTGTCAAGAGGACAAATGAGGCCTCTTTTCAGCAGGGGTTATCTAATATTTGTACCCCACGTGGGTAGCACAGACTGATTATGACCTCTGGTTACATCTGCAGGAGCTTGGTACTCAGAGCTTGGGGTACTGCACCGACTTCCAGGCAGTCCCAGGCTGTGGCATCAGCTGCAAGGTCGGAGGTGTGGAGGCTGTCCTGGATATGGCCGAGGAGGGTCTCGATAAGCTGGACGCTAACAGGAGTGGGGACAGCAGTGCTCCTCTGGGAGATAATATGCTGGTCATGCTCTCAGAATCACATGGTATGTCTGCCACCAAAGTGGCTGCCAGTCACAGTGTGAGAGCTAGTCAATCAACAGTGCTGACAACTGTAAAACAATCCCATAGGGCTAGGAACAACAGACAGGTGGATTTATGGCAGAAAGAGACAAAGAACATGGCACAAAAATGGGCCTTAACAAAAATCAAAGCTCTCTTTCCCCTACTCTGAATCTCTCTGCAATTCAGAAACCGAAATAAGAATTTAGATGCTACAATGACAGGTACTCAAAAAGTCCATACAATACAAAGGCCCAAGGCATACTCAGCAGTGTTCCTTTTGGATAGAAGAATTGTCCAGCAGAGAGCTAAGTTGGCCAATTAGCATTATCTCCCCATTTATAGCAGTTACTTCTAGCATATATTTAGCATATATCTTACTGCAACTTTTTATATCCTACCCTTTAGTTCCATATTAACTTGGACCTTTTGTTTTCTGTTCATATATCTCTCAAGGCACTTAATTAAAAAAATAATAATCTTTTCAGCAGATGCACAATGAAGCATGATTTATCTGAAAACTGAGTTTCAGTGCCTCATGGCTTTGATTAAGCCAATACATTTGGGTTTGTTTCAAGCTCTGTGGAAGCCACTTTTGTAGTGTAGGAGGGAAAGGAAAAGTATTTAAAGCCTTCCTTAAGAAGCTCATCAGTTCTCTTCAGAAAGCTGTGGCTCTCCTGACCTTTTTGAGAAAGCTATTAGAAGAATTAAATGAAATAAGAACTTTAATCATCAGAACTCTGCCATTTGTGAATGGTGTTAATGTAATATTTTCTCACCTGCTTCATACAGCTCTTGTGAAGTTGGATTGAATTCATAATGAGGTGCCCTATGTATAGTTTCATTCTTTGTTAGAGCAAAACTACATTTTTCTCACCAGAAATAGCCTTTATATTTGAAAGAAGCCATTAGTTGTGAGAACAAAGCAGCATGGCCTTTACAAAACATGAATACTGCACTTACTCAGAAAAAAAACGCCAACTGGCAAACGCAAATACTTCCATTAAGTTCATGATGCAGTTCTGTGTATAAACAGGTACAGACTGAGGCTTGAGGGAGAAAAGTTTTGTGAGGCTGTCTCAGGTAGTGCCCATGCGTTTCTGTTTGGCCATGATAGCAGCACTTGAACAAGACTAATTCTGTTTGTGTCCAGGGTGTGACCATGCCAATCTGGCACACAAAAGAACCCCTGAAGAAGAGGTTTTCCTAGCTAATGCACCCTGACATTGTCATCCTCAAACATCTCTGGCTTGTGTTCACTGTTTTTGAGTTTCTCATTTTGTTTTCTGTCTGTGCACAAAGGTCCATCAGCTTCTCACACATACTCAGTGTTGATTGGGAATCGTGAGTGGATGCGACGCAATGGCATGCATATTGCAAATGACATAGATGATGCAATGACAGATCATGAAACAAAAGGACAGACTGCCGTACTAGTGGCTATAGATGGTAACTGCTTTTCTTTGGTGTGACTTACTAACAACAGTTAATCCTACCATGGAATGGATAAAAACAAACTGGAGCAATTCATTGATGCTTAGTGTCAAGAAATTACTAATCTTTTAGTGCAGAACTGCTTCTGAACTGCCAAGTATCAAGGTGTTCTTAAAAGAAGCTTTCACCTCAGAACAGTGTTTATAAGATTTTTTTGGGTAGTTTAAAATTTTTTAAATTTTATTTTATGAATCTCCTGGTGCCTAGGACTGTTGCTCAGAAAAGCAGTGCCATGTCCCACCCTAACTTGACATCACTTAGGATCACAGGCCAACCTATTGCATCACTGATTTCAAAACGTTTCATGACTAAACATTATGACTCATTACATCATTCAGGTATAATAGATTAGACTAAATGAGTTTTGCCAGAGGGGTTCTGTGCTAAGCAGAAAGAGATCCCAGACAATACCTTACTATGAGACACCACAGTAATGATGATAGATTGTCAGTGCATCTGTGATCTGGAAATGGGGCCTCTGATCCAACTACTGAATAAATACTCCTGATGCGCCTAGAGAGCAATTTTGAGAAGCATTTGCATGTCCTCTGCCTGGGCTCCCTTAGTAGGCCAGCAAAATAAAGTCCTCTTAACATGGAAATAAGGGCCCTGGTATACAGCTGGTGTTCCTATTGCTGCTATTGACAGCAAATAGAGATATGGGGTACAAAACTTAGTTAAGTGCTTACTTTTGAAATGTAACATGCAGTGATAAAACAATGTGAGAGTTTGTAAGCCATATAAAGGAAATGTGGATGCACGATTGAATCAATGCATTGGAAGGCAGATACAACACTTGTGTGGGAAAGTAATTAATTATAATAGAGATTCAACCCTGAAAGATTAGGGGACATAAAAGCAGATACTCTATATTCTTCCTCCTGGAGGAGTGGCTTCAACATCTGACCTGGGCACAGATATGAGAACTTTCTCTGGCCCACTATTGTATTTGTCTATATCATGAAAGCTAGGCAGGCACGCTTAAAGGATACCCTCCTCCCCTTCTTCCCTGTGCCCAGGTATCACATTTGTTTGCTGTTTGATCTGAAAGAGATAAATGACAAAGTATGCATGTGTGTGCAAGAAAGAGTTCATAACCTATAAAACTGTAGACAGTTTTTTAGGCTTATGAGTGTCAGTATTGCCCAGAATGTGTTATTTGACAAGATGCCACGGTGTGATAGATGGAGGGGAAGTCCTGTTCTTTTGCTGTCACTTTGCCTCCACAGTTCTCTCTGATAGAGGACATTTCTTTATGCAGGCACGTTGTGTGGAATGATTGCAATAGCAGACACTGTCAAGCAGGAGGCAGCACTTGCTGTGCACACACTGAAAAACATGGGAATAGATGTGGTGCTGATAACGGGGGACAACAGGAAAACTGCAAAAGCCATTGCTACTCAGGTATTTGCTTCTCTGTGTTGAAAAAAAAAACAACCAAAAAGCAAAAACCCAAAACAAAACATGGTGACTTTCTAAAACTCTGTTCACCTTGGTGAATTTGGAGAAGTAACTCAGGGGGAAATATTGTTCTCTACATCTACCTGAAAGGAGGTTGCAGCAAGGTGGGTGTTGATCTCTTCTCCCAAGAAACAGAAAATAAAACAAGAGGAAATGGTCTCAAGTTGTGCCACGGGAGGTTTAGATTAGATATTAGGATCAATTTCTTCACTGAAAGGGTCATCGAGTATTGGAAGAGGCTGCGCAGGGAAGTTGCAGAGTCTCCACCCATGGAGATATTTAAAAGTTGTGTAAATGGGGCACTTGGGCACAGGGTTTAGTGATGGATTTCGCACTGCCAGCTTAAGGGTTGGACTTTTTGGTCTTAAAGGTCTTTTCCAACCTAAATGATTCTATGATTCTGTGATTTCACTGAAAATTTTTGGTGCATTAAGCAGCATGTGTAGCTGAAAACTGGCTATTCTAACCATTAAACCTTTATTGCCAGGGCTGTAGAGCCTGAAGCTCTACTTCTACATGCCTTGTGGGGCATGACACTAATAGCAGAGTATGGTTTGCCAGCATGTCTGCAGTAAAGATGGAGGGGGGTGTAATCAGTCCTTTTTTTATGCCAAAGGCATGTTGTTCTTAAGCTTTCCCTGTAGCTTGCAAGTGTTGTCTCCACCACAATTACTCTGGTTGATCTTCATTTTCCCTTCAAACAGAACATTCATTCCAGCATGGAAGCATATCACCAACTTTCTTTCTTTGTTTCTTTCTTTATACATAGGTTGGGATCAAAAAAGTCTTTGCTGAGGTTCTTCCTTCTCACAAGGTTGCAAAGGTCCAGGAGCTCCAAAATGGGAGGGTGAAGGTTGCAATGGTTGGTGATGGAGTCAATGATTCTCCTGCACTAGCCAGGGCCGATGTTGGAATTGCAATTGGAACAGGCACTGATGTTGCAATTGAAGCAGCTGATGTTGTTCTTATTCGAGTGAGCACTACAGTCTTGGCTTGTACTTTTTTATTACTGACACTCTTATATATGATTTGGTATTTGGAAGATTGCATGTTGAAAACTTTCAATGCTCTTCTGTCTTGCAGAATGACTTGCTGGATGTAGTTGCCAGTATTCACTTATCAAAGAGAACAGTTCGGAGAATACGAATAAATCTGGTTCTCGCCTTAATTTATAATCTGCTTGGAATACCCATAGCAGCAGGTATGTGACTGCCAGAGCTCAGTTTATTAAAGACAGAAGCACTGTTGAGTTCTGTGGTGCCTCTCGCAGGATTTCCTGTTCAAAGAACCAAAGAGAATCCTAGAGTATTTAAACCTTGTCAGGAAGCCAAAAAAAAAAAAAACCACTTTTTTTTTTTTAACATGTTTTGGAAAAAAACAAGTTGTAAACTCTTGGGAATAAATTCTTACATGATGAAATTAAAAGCATGCTTTTATTTCACACAGCAGTACTTGGGGATTAGTTTCTGTATATTCAAACACAGCTCTAACCAGAGGTACCATTCCACTTCTAGTGCTTCCTCTTTTATTGGCCCCAAATCACACATTTTCTCTCCCACTACTTGCATTCTCTCTGCTTCTGTTAAGTATGCTCCAAATTCATCCTTAAATCTTACTTCAAGAGTTCTTTTTCTTTATGACTAACTTCTCCCTGCTTTGCCTGGGCGTTTACCTTGTCTTTCTATTGCTTTTGCTTTGTTTCCTATGCGCAGAATAGCTGGAAGGGACAAATAGTCTTGCCTTGTGGCCCCTGTCTTGTAGCTGAATTGGTGCAAAGGTCATCCTCTGCAGTGAAAGGGACATATTTAAAAATAAGTGAATATATGTATATCAATCCAGTTGTGTTTATGGAGGTCTCAGCAAGTCATGTTGTAGAATTGCTGATCTAGGATATGCATGGACAGAAATGTCTGTATTGAGACAGGCGGTTCTGACTCATGTCCATATGTTTTTTCGCTAGGTGTGTTCATGCCTATTGGCCTTGTGCTTCAGCCTTGGATGGGATCAGCTGCAATGGCAGCTTCTTCTGTGTCTGTCGTGCTGTCTTCCCTGCAGCTGAAATGGCAAGTTCTCTTATACTCATCAACTGGGACACCATAGGCGGCACTGTTGCTGAGCCTCAAGTGAAATGTTATTTTGGGCTTTGACTGCATATGAGTATGTGACAGTCTTTTAGCTTGGGGTTGTAATTTCTAATCCTTGGCTCCAAAAGAGATGGGTGTCACTGTTATGAACACACCTGGACTAAGACAGTACTGAGCATTCCTTAACTAGCAGCTAAAAGTGTCACCAGATGCCATGCGGACAACTGTGTTGGAAATCTAGTTCAATAGGAAGTGCAATAATGATCAGCACTGCTTTTGCTGCGAGTATCAAGTGAAAAAAATAATTTAAAAGATAGTTCTCCATAATGTACCATTAGATGTGTTTTAGATTTGTACCTGATTTTTTTTTTTTTTGGTCTATTTAATCTAGCCAGAGAGAAAGAATCATAGAATAGTTGGGGTTGGAAAGGACCTTAAGATCATCTAGTTCCAGCCCCCCTGCCATGGGCAGGGACACCACACCTGAGAGAGAAGCAGTGTATTTATTCTTTTGCAGCTTGCTACAGATAAAGTATCTTGCTCTGTATTTTTGGAAGGGACACAGTTTCTCAACTATAAAAAAAATTTCTTAGCAATTCTAGTAATTTTTTTATGCTACATTTTTTGGGTGCCCATTTTGGTTGCAGTTACAGTGAATCTGTTTTTAACAGCTTTGTGAGTAGCCACCTTTAAAAAAAAAGACTTTTCACAGTGTCTGAAATTAGTCCAAGCCTCCAACTATTTCTACGGTAGCTGGCATCCTCTGTATAGTGTAGTGTAGTATAGTATAAACTAATATAGAAAATCTGTTGCTTCATCATGTTTCTGATCCTGCAAATGCTCAATGAGATGGCTATCTAGAATAAAATCTACATACATACTCATGTCTGTTTGCAGAATCAGCCTTACCACTACAGGATTTTAATCCTGAAGTTTTTCTGTGTGTAATTATGCAAAGGATGAGAAATTTCATGGAAGGGATTAATGATCTTTTGATTTTGTGCTGATTACATTAAATATCCACTGTGTTCAGATATTGAGAACCCCCCAAAACATATTTGGCTTCAGGCTTATGGAAGCTGTATTACAGTATACTCTGTGGGACAATAATCTTTTTTGAAGCTTTGTATCAGCTGAACACAGCTTCAGATTCCAAAGAGCAAGATAATACATGTATGTGAAGAAGGCTGTGCATACTTGTCATTGCTGGGCTTTTTTTGACCTAGAATACATTGAATCGGAAAGTGATTTTGGGTTATTGAATCCATTCCTCTGCAATTGTCTACTATGAGCCCTTTCATAATTCAGCAAACTCATAAAAAGTCTTAAAGAATCTCACTTTGAAAGTCCCTCTCTTCTACTGTTGAAATGTCTTAATGCTGTATGACCGGTACTTTTAGCCATTAACATTGTGTCTGAAGTGCAAGTAACATTTGGGTTATCAGAAGTTTCTGATTTGTTCTGATGTGAAGACACGTCTACACATTCATCGTTTGGTAGTAAATATGTTTTCTCTTTCTCTTCTTAGTTATAAGAAGCCAGACACGGAAAGTTATGAAGCACAAGCTCAAGGCCACATGAAGCCACTTACTCCTTCCCAAATCAGTGTTCATATTGGAATGGATGATAGGAGGAGGGATTCATCCAGACCAGCTCCTTGGGATGAGATTAGCCAAGTATCTCTCTCTTCCTTGACGGCAGACAAGCTGCCGAAACATAATGGGTTTGTTGAGGAAGAGGGGGACAAGTGGTCATTGCTCATTAATGGAAGAGATGAAGAACAGTACATCTGAAGCACTGTATTCTTAGTACAGGAGGAAACATTCCTCCCCACTAGTGATGGCAGGGACTAATTTATTTCACCAAGAGCTTCCAGACTTCAAATGAAGTCATTCATTCAGCTCATAAAACAATTGCTGCTCAGCTCAATGTTGGATTGTGGATTTTTTTTCAAGTCACCAGTTATTTCTAATCACAGAAAAGATCTGTGGCTCTATAATGAACTGGCTCCTTTGCACACAGCAATTAGTGAAATAATGTAAAATTGTAATTTTCAGGGTCTAAAAGAGTTTCTTTCTTCTGGACTTTGGTGTTTGCTGGGCAGCAGATCTCATACTTTTCGTTCTTTCTAACTTTATTATTTCAAGAGCACCTGAAGCAAAAATATTTTCAGAGCTGCCAAATAATAATTTCTGTGTCTAAATGAAAACAGACACGTCATAAGTGGCTCTCTGGTAGGAAGCTGTATTTTTTCACTGAATCCTAACTAGTCACATCACTGTGAGAGCACTTTGTCTTTAGGATTTATGTGCATCTCCTTGGACTGAAAATGCTTCAGTGTTTCACTGACTATAACGTTCTGAAATGTCTCTTTCAAAGATTTTCATGTGTTTTCAAGTATTGCATCTGTTTGATGCACATTTTCATTTCTGAACTTGTTCTGTCATTCCCTCTGCTCTCCTGGATTTTCTCTTTTGCTCCATGCAAGCTCTTTTTTTTCTTTCCCCTATTGTTGCACAAGATATCTTCTATGAGTTATTACTATGTTTACAGATAAACCTGTTTGGGACAAATTTCTTTAAGTCACCAGAAACTTTTCCTTTCCTATTGAAGTCCACAAAATTCCTTATCCAAATTAGCATATCATTTTCCTGTGGATACTTTGAAGGACCCCATGAAGCTCCTGAGAATTGGGCAGTTGTCTGTCTCTTCCCTCTGACAGAGTGAAGAATTTATCCCACTAAACCATGTCACCCAAACATGGCTGAATGGAGTGGGTTTATTGCATAAGTTAACCCCAGTTTGCTTAAAAGGGAGACAAATGTTTAAATGGTAATGGTGGACAAAGGGCCTTAAAATGTGGGACTTCTATTTGCTATTATATAAATAACCTTTTCTGATGACAGAAGGACTTAAACTAAGAAGATTTGTAATAGCTTGAATTTTAATGTAAATCTGTATTAATGTTTTGAATTTGTTTTAATTTCCCTCTTTGCTCTAGTTTAATAAGAAATTAAGGTGCTGAACAGCCCTGTTTTCACTTTAGCATATTTACCAAAGCTTGCAGTAACTTTATCACTGTGAATGTCAGTTTCATCCCTTAACACTTTTCAGAGTTAGGACAATAGGAATCAGTGGCTTTGGTGCCCTGAATCTAGTCCCAGGGTGCCGCTTTGCTCAGCTGTGGGACTCTGAATTAAGCAGACCAGAGTTTTATAATCTAATCTAAAAAAATGAAAAAAGAGGAATTACTATGCTAAACAATGTGAAATAAACACTTATTTTCATTGATTTAAAGATAGAGCTGTTTGCAACACGGGTTCAAATTGTGCTCTTCCTAATGTAAAAATGAAAAACAAGTCAGAGAGGAAAAGAACTGTGCTTGGAGCATTTGGCAGGTCTTCCTATTCTCTCTTCCTCATGGTATATTTGAGGTCTCCATAGCAAACTTCAACAGCACTATTTAAATATAATTACAAATCAGTTTTAAAACTGTAAAATCTCTTTATATGTGTAGAGATTACTTTCACAGCACACACACTTCAAGTATGCCATAGGTGCCTATACCTGTCCCTGTGGGGAAGATGGTCTACTGTTTCACTGTTTTATGTCTTACCAGTGCTCACAGTAAAAATACTGTTATTTTTTTTAAAACAAACAAATAAGAAAATAACACTATGTCTTTGCTTTTCTGTTTTTGGAGGGGTATAGCAAAAAAAGAAAGCAGCAGCAAAAAGGAAAGCAGAAGCAGTGACTGTTGGAATGCAGGGTACATGTACAAGAGAGATTTTGTGACTGCTTTGTAATTTATTTCAGGCAGGAGATATAGCAAGGAAAAATAAACAGTCCTGTACTGTATGTTGGGGTAGGTGAGACTGCAAATAGATAATCCTGATTTTTGACTTAGGATTCAAAATCTGTCTTGAGGTATTGGACAGAACTGACAAACTTTGCAAAACAGGAAAGGGAGGAATTAAAGCTTGGCAGAAAAAGGTCGAATAGTTGGCTGGCATTCATTTTGTGACCCATTCTAACCAGATAGTGATGCTGCAAAATGAACAGAAACAATGAGTGAGATCTACAAAAACTGTATCACCCACAGAACATGAAATACCTCTTTCTGTTCAGATCTGGGGAGGCATCAACTGGAGTATCAGGTCTAGTTCTGTATGTCATGCTTGTCTGGAAAAACTGGCAACAGTTCAGAGAAGAGCAATGAGATTTAACAGAAATCTAGAAAACCAGAGCACTTAAGTACATGAAAATGAGAAACATAAGAAGATAAATGGAAGGAGTTTGAGTAGGTTTGCCTACAGAATACTTGAAGTACAAGTCTCCAAACACAAAGAGCACAATTGATTCCTTTCATCTTTCCAGTGTCTCTTATGTTTGTGGTGGCTAGAACAAGAAATAATAGGCTTATTGAATCAAAGAAGATTTAGATTAGTCACTAGGGAGGAACCCTGTAACAGGAAAGATTGTGGAGTGCTGGAAGAGATTGAAAAGGAGGCTCTTCAGAAGCACACGGCAAACAGACACATATCTGATGACAATGTGTTAGGCCAGAGGTGAATCCTGCCTGGCTGCTCACCTGGACAATCTCCTGACCTCTCCAGCCTGGCTTTCTCTTGCTTCTGTGAACATACTATGAACTGTGAAACTACTGAATTAGAGGACTGATCACACTGTCCTGCTCCAAAGAGGTGCCAAAGGAGTGGAAGAAAGATTGGATTTGACTTTGTTTAACATCCTGAAATGAACTGGAAAATATGTTAAGATTTCCTAACTGTATTTGCATACTGTCTTAGGTTGTAAACTGCTGTGAAATGTGCATAAATGCCTATATGGTAGTTAGAACAGCTACACATAGTTAAAAAAAAAGAAATATAAGTGCTAGTCCTGACACTTTGAAACATAGAAATCATGGACTCAGCTAGGTTGGAAAAGACCTTTAAGATCCTGAAGTTCAACCTTTACCCCAGGACTGCCAAGTCCACCACTAAACCATGTCACTGAGGGCCTCATCTACACAGTTTTTGAACACTTCCAGGGACGATGATTCCACCACTTCCCTGGGCAGTCTGTTCCAATGCCTGACAACCCTCTCTGTGAAGAATTTTTTCCTATTATTCAATCTAAACCTCCCTTGGTGCAGCTTGAGGCTGTTACCTCTTGTCCTATCACTTGTTACTTGGGAGAAGAGACCAGACACTTCCTCATTTCATTCTCCTTTCAGGTAGCTGTAGAAAGCAATAAGGTCCTCCCTGAGCCTTCTCTTCTACAGACTAAACAACCCCAGTTTCCTCAGATGTTCCTCATAAGACTTGTGACCATGTGCTCTTGTTAAGCTTGAGCTGATTCATTGGTGTGGCATATGAAATGGAGGACAGAGTCTGCATTTCTGCATCACGTAATTATGGACTTGTCTTCACCAGGTCCATCTGCCTGCAGAGCCCCTGGCAGAGCCAGGTGCTGGCCTGTTACTGGTGCTTCTCAGCCTGTTACTGGTGCTTCTCAGCCAGGTCCAGTAAACGGGCTGGAGGAACAACAGAGAAGACGTC